ATGATTTGAAGTCAATATATGGCAAATCATTGCACTTGGAAATAAGCAGTATATTCTGTGCAGAGACAATGTTTAGCTGCTTAGCAAAACAACCTTTTTAGCTGTGGATAGTGTTTCACTGCTAGACTTTTTATGACTAGCTAAGTTAGTTAAGGTCACTTTAAAGATATTTTAATGCATTATATCTTTCCTTCTGAAAACCTTTGAGTTTTCAGTTTGTAAGAACTAAAGAACTTGGGTTTGTGCACCGACAGGTAGAACAGATACCTTAATAATTTTTCACTCAGACACATTTGATAGTAGGTTATTGTCTTGTTCCCTCAAACTCAGTGACATCTGACAGATTTCTTAGAACAAATGCTGTGGCATCAGTTCGAGATGGCAAATGTAGCTTCTCTGATGACAAGCACTGCACCTCTTCACCCCATCACAGTGCGTTGTGTGTGGAGGCCTTAGCTCCGGTTCTCTTTGAATCACGATGCCATTCTGATCAAGGAGCATACAGTGTGTGTCCAGCAGTACCACTCGCTTTGCGGTACCTCTCACGTGGCTTTTGATACAGACTGTCCCAGGTCTGATTCAAGTTTGTCACTTGAAGCTATAGCAGCCGCACCACATACTCCTTCTCTCCCAAGGAGCAGGCTGAGAGACCCCTGAATTCAGACCTGGGTGGGTTTGAGCTTGGTCTCCTGCACAAGTTTACAGCAGATCCTCATCCTGGTATTGTAGTTGGGCTGCATCTATACCACTGGTCCAGTAGAGGAAGCACTGAGATTTGGGTTTCAGATGTATTCGTTGTAATAGAACGTTGAAATTGCAGTGAGCTCAGAAACCAGTTCAGCAGAATCCAGCAATGCTACAGAAAGTCTACCACAAACAGGTCTACAATGATAGCACACAGAGTGAAAATTAATATGTGTCCTGTAAATAATTGCCTTCATGCCTCATTGCAAATGCGGTAGTTAAACATTCTTATCTTGTGAGTAATTTCCTATTCTCAGTTTGTGGGAAGGCATAAATGTAAAGAAAACAGGTTTGGGGTTCTTTTGTTGGGTTTTTTATTTTGTTTTTGAGTCTGTTAATTTCAATTCACGAACACCATGGGAGTCTGCATTTCCAATTTTCTTTTCACAGTATTAATGAAAACTGGGCACTGAAAATAGTCAGATTTTTCCCTTTACATTTTAAACCACTTAGAAATACAGTCAGGAATAATAACTTTCTAATCCATTATTACACAATGTAAAACTGTGCTCAATTGCTATTATTTCATACAAAGTTTTTCATAAGTGGTAGAAGAGGCTTTTAAAAATCAGTCCCTTCTAAGGTGGCCTTTGAGGCAATCCAAAAAGGCTGGTCGTATACTGCTCAGAGGAAGAGTTGTGCAGCAGAGAAGTTGTTCTACAAAGGGATCATTGCACCACAAGATAGCTTTTACTTCCTCTTACTGCTATGACATCGCCTGAGAATAGTCACAACCTTTATGATTTTCTCTTGTTCCTAATCAAACCATCCTCAACTTCTTATAGATTGTTCCAGGATTTTTGGGAGATGAATTTTTATTCTTAAAAATCAGGGCCATTTTTTATGACATTTAATCTTTACATTCACCTCTAAGGTATTTAGCTTCTCATTCACAATAAGAAACTTTATCTGGGATGAAGTTAGTGTCTTTTTGATGCTGCAGACAGTGGCAGAGATGACAACCAAGTAGCAGAAAACTTACCTATAGACATGTCCCTGCTGCTGTGCCAGGAGCCAGTGACTCTGCCTGGTTCAGCTACCATGACGCTGAGAAGAAATCTGCATCATCTGTTTCTCAAAAAGTTGTGAAGCAAAGAGGAAGATTTCTGTAACCTTACTCTCTTCACTTGCTCTCCACTGAGATCATCTGTTGTCCTTTTCAATAGTTCCTGTCTTGCAGGAGAAAAAAAAAAAAAATTCAGCTGGATTCCCATTGAGTACTCCACTCTTAGTCAAGTAAAGGTCCTGTTTAAATAGAAGGCAGCTGTTTCAGCTACGTTAAAGATGGGCTTTGTTTATTTCCATAGATTTCAGAAGAGGTGTAGTCTGGCCTTTTCTCCCCGTCTCAGAAAAGGACACTTCCTTTAGCATGTGCTCTATTAACCTTTCCTACCTAAAACGCTCACAGACAAACCCATGTGCTTTGCAAAACTTTCCTCTTATTTCCTCTTCTTCGCCTTGAGAGGCCCTGCTAGGTTAAAAACATATTTTAATGTAAACAGAAGAAAAATATCAAGAAGTCATTTCCCTTGATGAACTGCTCGTTTTACAGAAGTCCAAACAAATGTAACAACAGATGCTTTGAAAATGTTATAAATAACATTAATGTAGTGGTTGAACATTACTCAGACAGATGGGATAAATGAGATAATTATGAAAACATTCTTAAAAATAAAAGGATGCCATCAGGTGAAAGGCAGGAGTTTAGGTAACGTTGAAAAATATTCCTTATATGTTTTTTCCAGTTGCAGTGTTGAAAGAATGTTTTCCTCTGAGCAAGCTGTTAAGTGTCATTTATTAGACATTAATTGTAAAGTTAGTTGATGGCATTTGGCCCAAATGTCTATATTTTAAAGAGAAAGAGCAGCTGTTAGTCCATCAGGTATTGACAAAGTTTATTCAGTTGCTTCTATTATTTCTCAGACAGAAATTAATTTCCTGAAATCACATACAGTAAGATAAGACTTTGTCTCATTTTCATTCGCTATGGAAATACTCAGGAGTCTTTATTCTGCAACAATGCATAGTCTCTTGTAAAACAATAAAGTACATCCTATGCGTAAAAGAATTTCCATTTTCTACAACAGCTACAATGAAGAAACAGGATCTAAACCAATCACTGACTGCTTTGAGACAGGCTACATTTCTTAGTAGGGTGGCATCTACCCTGAAATGAGAAAAAAAAAACTTAGAATGTTCTGAAGCGAAACTTCAGGAACTCTTGTGTAGTTATAGAAAATACCAATTGAAACAACTAGTAACAACTAAGAACTTTCACGGGGAGGGGTGAGAAAGGAGTAAAAATACTGTTTGACACAAATGACAATCCTGAGTCTTACTGTGCTGCCTCTGTTCTTTCAGCCAAATAAAATGTCACCTTCTTTAAACCCATATGGAATAACCGCCAGGATGTGGTGTTTCAACAGTAAGAACACAAATCACCAATAAATAAATGATGAGTAATACCAAGGTGGGGAGGGAACTTAGTTCTTTTTGGGCTTTGTGGCTTTTTTGCTGTGTTTTATTATTCATAGGCCAATTGTGGATGTCTGTAGCTGGTGGCTGCTTTTAATTCTGGCTGTCCAAACTTGTTGCAATTTTTTGACCAATGTTGATTGTTTGAGTGGCATTACCTTTAATCATCATCTTCCTATTATGCCTTTACACTGCAGAAGAATCAACTATGGGGCATAATGTGCTTTTGTGCACCTTGAGCAAGACACTCTAATACATTTCAATAAAATGCTATTTTTAGGCAAGGCCTGATAAAGCTAACATTATGATTATAATGTAAAACTAGTATTTGAGAATAGTTAACACTCATATTTTACTGACTGCTTTTTTAGCCATGCATAATGATTTAAACTGTGGTTTCTATAAGCCAGCCTGGATGCTTAATGAGCGTGTTCTGCACTGCTCGGTGGGAAACCCGGCTTCACTCACTACTCTTTCCTCGCTCCTGAGCTCAGCCAAGGCTGGCAGTGCTGAGAGTACACAGCCTCTCAAGAGTTTGGGAATGCTGGTATAATTGGAGGAATATTGCATAGACCCAGGTCACTTCATTTTGTTCATGATCCTTGCTAAGTTACAGAAGAAGATCCATCTCAGGTATTGCCACTTAAAGCAATCCTACACAAAGATCTGCCTCTCCTCCTTCTGGAAAATTCAATAAAGGAAGGAGATAATGGGAAATGCATAAGCATTGTCCATGCTGTGAGCACTCAACCGAGAAATTCTTCCTGGAATTAGGGTTTCATTCCACGTGGCTGTGTAAGGGGATAGAATGTGCCAGAAAACATAATAGTTCCTATCAAGAAGATTTTACAGTCTGAAGACATAGGTCAGTTCAGTTCATACCACAACTGAAAAGATCAGAGTCTGGCCTGAGAGTTGGGTTCTTAGAAAGCTGGGCCCTTGCTCTGTGCAATTTAAGAGGTTTTTTTTCTGGGCATAAAGCTTAGCTTGAATGAATGTCTGGTATTGGTGTCAATGAGGAAAAGAGGGAGTGGGAGAAGTTGAGTGAAAAAGTGTCTGAAGTGTAGCCATATTTAAGGAGGACTGAATTAGAAAAGAGAAGGTAGGGTTGGAAAGCCCTCTAAAAGTAATAATAACTATAATTAATTTGGAGGAAAAAAGAAACAAAAGTAAAACTTTAGAAGGAATGGAGAAATTGAGATGCTTGCTGAGGGAAGTCTAAAGGAGAGCTGAGGATACCTTATTTGTAGCCAATTTATTGGCTGCTATCATTTATTATAAGGGGGAATTTTGATTCCCCCACACACACTTCTGTTTGGTATTTTGTTGTATCATGACTGTCTTCTCAATAAGTACATAGTGTCATATTTGGTTCTTTACATAAGGAGAGAGAGTGAGGGCGAGAGTGGGAGAGGAAGATCCTTTCCTCCAGATGTTCGTGTTCTGGCATTTAAGTTGTGTCATGCCTCTTATTCCAGATTATTTAAGCATTCTTTGCTCAATAACAGCAGTTGGAGAAATTATGCTTTTGAAGGCTAAAATGAGATTTTTCTTGCTGTCCTTTTACTTGTTTAAAAGCCTGTGTACTCATGCTGACAGACATGAAAATGGAATGGGCTGCAAACCTAAATCTGAACCGGTAGCGTAGGGTACCTTGATAGGCAGTCCTGACCTAGCGGGCGCAGTTAGAAAGTTGCATGTTTGTAGCAGGTAGATATGAGTAACTCCTCAATGTGCAAAGTCAATAATAACCTCTCCCTTATTTCATTATCTACCTACAGCAAATCCTACCAGGGCAGGAGGAGGACGGGAGTACCCTGGCTCGTCCGAGGTGATTCGTGAATCCAGCAGCACAACAGGCATGGTAGTTGGGATCGTGGCAGCAGCGGCGCTCTGTATCCTCATTCTCCTGTATGCTATGTACAAGTACAGGAATCGAGACGAAGGATCATATCACGTAGATGAGAGTCGAAACTACATCAGTAACTCAGCACAATCCAATGGGGCTGTGATCAAGGAAAAACAGCCCAACAGCGCTAAAAGTTCCAACAAAAACAAGAAAAATAAGGATAAGGAGTACTATGTCTGATCTCAACATCTAAAAGAACGCTTGTATAGAAATAGTCTTCATTTTATCTGAGACATAATACAAACTTATTTACTTTACTTTTTATGAAGCACATTCAAAAACAAACAAACAAAAAAGACAGGGAATGCAATCAGAAAGGAAAGACTGTTTTTAAAAACAAGCATTTCATGCTCTTGTTTTTCAGAAACAGGAGCTGATAAATTCCCTAACATCCACAGTGTTTTCATTTACTCTGCCTGTCTTTATGTTGCTGGAACATTTCTGAAAGACAATGATGACACCACGCATTCATAAAGCAAGGAGTATTACTACAACATGAAGGCACAATATGAAACAAAACAAATTAAAAAAAAGAAACAAACAAAAACAAAACAGGAAAATAAAAAAGAAAAAAAGAAGCTACCTATGATTCTGGATTTAGCCAAAGTGCTAGCGCTTTCTTGAGAAGTAAGTTAGTCTTATTGTCAGAGAAGACTGTCATTATATATGGTGACTCAACAAGCAAACATAAAGAGTTTGCCGTCTGGTGCAGTGAAGCAGTGATTGGAAACTTGCATTTGAAACAAAGTGCTGGCTTTTCTGAAGACTTACGTAGAAATACTTTCAAAAAGCCCCTTTCTGGTTGTGAGGAAATAGTACGGAGGCCTTATTTTCAAAAACAAAAACAAAAATCTGGAATATAAGGCACATTTCCACAAAAAAAAAATTAAAAAAATAAGAAAAAAAAACAAACAAGAGGGCATAGATGCAATCATTGGGAAATTTTCATGCACGCTTAATATGTTATTACATATGTTTATATAAAACCACATCTATATGTGCTTTCTGGACTGTGATAAGTGATGTTTTATAGCCTGTTGTATAGAAAATGCAAGCTATATCTGCTCTTCAGCCATTTTTGGTAAACTCAATGTTATAAGTGTTGCTAGGTATAGAGAGTTTTATGACATCTGGAGCAACAGACATAATTCAGTTTTTTTGCAGCCATTATAAATTGTCCCAGACTTCTTCCCCTTGTTTTGGTTTGGGTTTTTGTTTTGTTGGGGTTTTTTTCTTTTTCTTTTTTTTTTTTTTATTTACAGTGTAGTGGTTATACTAAGGGGATGTGTATGAATGTATATAAGAGTCAGCTAATTTTTTTCTTACCTGTACAGCCTCTATTCTGTTGCAATTAAGTTTCAGTAGTTTGTATGAAAGAAGTGGAATAGAAAGCAAAAATGTATCTCTACTGTAATTTGTCTTCTCCCTCCTAGCCCCATCTCTTGCTCCTGATATGCATCAATGAAGTTGATCAGAATGGCCAATTTTCCTAGAAATAGACATTCATTAATTAGCTAAATATTTAGTGACTTAAATTAGCCTTTGGCTTCCAGTCAAAGCTTCACTATTGGAGAGCATGGTTTGCCTTACAGAAACCTTGTTCTTAAGAAATATGAGAATGATGAGTTACTTGAGAATCTTAGGAAGTATCATATAGTGTTTATCTGGCATTCAGTTATATGAACGACAGCTACTACGGCTTGGGTGGTAAAAGATCTGAAAAGAGACATTTTAATTATCCAGCCTAATTCTACTGCAGAATTTACCCCTTTCTCCAAAAAGGAAATAATCTTGAGGTGCACGATATTTTTCAATGGTGGGCATTTTGACATATGAAAAAGTATTTTTAGCTAAGTTGATTGTGTAGTATTGCAAGACATCATAACCAGAGAAATATAAGTTCATCATGTTTTAAAGTAAAACATAGCTTTTCTTGCATATATAAAACATTAATGCATTTTAGTTAAACATATGAAATATAATGCTGTAACTTACATGTTAAGGGTTTTTTTCTAGTATTATTTCATTAGGTTCACAGCAATAAATCACAGCGTAACATTTTATTTACACGGAAGTTCAAAGGAAATACATTAGGCAGAAAGATGGTAGTTCAATAGAAATCAAGCAAGTCATTGGAAGGCCTCCTGGGAGGGATATAGATGTTCACACTTTACAGACAGGAAGGAGTAATTTAAAATTACCTTTAAACAGCAGGCACAAAAAATTTTGTTGTGAGTTATTCACTGTAGCTGATGAAAGAGGCTGAAAACTGGTACAGCTATCTATCTGGGAGTCAGAGCACTTTAAAAATACATGTAGCTGACATGAAAACACCTCTCTTGAAGTTTGCCAACCACATTGAGGTGTGTCATGTTGCATATGTTAAACAATTTTTTTATTTTCATTAACATTAACATCAAAATGAGAACAGTTTCACAAAATCCATCTGACACACATTTCTTAGACTGTTGTTCACCTGCACCATTCGTAACTTCTCCCACCTTTACAAGACAGCTGTACTCAGGGAGCGGCAGGGTCAGGTATACTAGAGGTCATTGCTGGAAGCAAGAGACTTCAGCTGGAAGGGGGGAAAGAAGAAGTTGAAAGCCAGGTGGTGTTCAGATTTCAGTGCTTAAAGATATGTAGAAGAACGGGAATAATCTGATGACAGGAGACTGACAGAATATGGTTTGGGTGAGATGAAATGGTCTTTTCTGCTTGGTATTGATTACATTAATGAAATAGCATGGTTAGGTCAACTTCCAGGCAGTTTGGTAGGTTAATCTTTAACTAAATCCATACATCAAGGAAAAAAATATCTGTGAGTACTATAATAAGCAAACACGATTTTAACACTGTTTCTGAAGGTTCTCCTTTTTCCTCTTTAATTTCATAATTTTACAAAAACAAATATGGATGTATCAGAAGTGCCAGCAAGTGGATTTAAAATTCTTTTTTGTTTAAAAACAGCAGCAGCAACAAACAAACAGACATAAAATAACTACCTAACGTAAAATTGGATCCTTTCTCTATAATAGCCTAATTTGTTTGACTGAGATGGCTTCATTTCTATGACTGTATTGTGTTGCCTTTTTTAACAAAGCACTAAGTAATGTGTGAAACTTTCAACCCTAAGACATCAAAGAGAGGCCCAATGCCCCTAACCTTATAGTGCTTTCTGTGATAGATATTTACGATTTTTTTATTTGTTGCAAGGCCAATTTATTCATTATTGGAAATGCTAAGCAAGTGGAATTTACTGTTTTGTTAATAAAAATGTTTCTTAATACAAATGCTGTCTTGTTTCTTCTCTTGGCCTTAGATCTGGAGTATCTGTGTCAAGTCTTGTGTTCAACTGGCCGATTCAGAAAAACATGAATTACATTAATGCATTGTTTGGGTTTGCATGGAGTTACTTAATTTGACATATTCTACCTTTTTTTTTCCTAAATCAGGAAATTAAAAATTGATGTTCCTCTTTCCCCATGAATGAAATAAAAAAAAAAAAACAACAAAAAAAACCCCCCAAAAAACACCAAAATTCCTTTCCTTTTCCACCACTTTTTTTCTGGTAGAAAGAAGATGGCAGAAGGTAAGGTAATGAGATTAAAAGTTAAACTGAAAACATTTTCTCTTGTCTAGAAGATGGTTTAAAAATTAATTGAAAAATGAACATATTTTAGGTCCTTAAAAACATTCCTAGATAATAATTATGAATTTTTAAGCGGAGCTAATCCATTACATAAGTACTTTCTTATTTAGCCTGGCATTTAAATTCATGGCTAACTTCAAGCAAACATCTAATCCTATTGATTCAAGAAAGTGTCTAAAGTTCCTTAAATGTATTGCTGAATGGGGATGGAGTTAAGCTTTTGGATCTAAGCTCCAAATAGAATTTAAGTATATATCTTCTTTAATCACATCAGTAGCTTCTTTTACTTCAATGGGATTTATTCATCTGCTTAATTAGGTATAAACAGAAGTATTTTAGATAATTTAAGTTTGGGAATATCTGGAGAAAACAACCCCTATCTTCCATTAATATAAACAGGTTTTTGTTAAATTTATATTCTAAACTACTTTATACTGGGATTAGTATGTGTGTGCACATGTGTGTGCACGCGTGTTTTTGAATAAATACTGAATATTCCATTTAGAAAAATGCTTTATACACATTTAAAGGAGCTATAACAATAGTGATTTTTGTTGTACTACTACCAAAAAACCCAAACATGTTTAATTATACAGTTTTAATTCTACACTCTATTTGTTATTTTTTTTCTTGCATCTATACTGTGCTCTCCCTTTCACCAAAATACTAATGGCCTCTCAGGACCTGCATCATCCATCACCAGCTACCTGCTCTAAGTGGTGGCCTCCATAATCAATCATCACTGTGGCCAAGTAGCTAAAAAGCCTTCACAAGATGAGGAAAAAAGAGAAAAAACTAACAAACCCCCAGACGTAACTTAGAAGAAGGGAAATAGAGCACACATGTAGGCTGTAAATGACAACTGTGTTTGTTAACTCTGCCAATATGACTTCTTCATAGTTCAACATAACAGTTTTAAATTGGGTATCTGGGTATGATTTTCATGCTGATTATAGAAATTTGTTTCTAAATTCAGTACAGTCCTACTTAGAGATGCTTGGAAGCATTGTACTGGGGTAAACCAGATTGTTCAGTACAATTTTATTTCAGATTAAGGTTATTGGCTTATTGGCTTTATATTACAGCCCTCACTTTTTTAAAATCTGGAAGTATTTCAGTGTTAAAATGTTTCTGGCTCTCATGGGAGTGGGGAGAAAGAGAAATCCACACTGCATTTAAATCAATTTATGAATTGATGAATGTTTGGGGATGGAAAAATTGCTTGCCTGCCAGCCTCTGGTTTGTGTGGATGGTCTATTCCAGATCAAGCTTTGAACTAGAAATTCTAGAGAAGACAAAAAAGTCATTGATACAGGTCTGCTCAGTTTTATGAGATTCAGGGCTAGAACTCACCCATTCTTTCACCTGCTTACTTTGGAGGCTACTCTCTACTCAAGGTCTTTGACAGACTTCAGCCATGAATTCTGACTTCTGGAAAAGAAAGTACAGTCCCTTGCCTTTCTCAGTTACTCACTACCCCCTAAATATCTTCATTGGTTGTTCAGAACAAGCAGATTTCCATATGAGAGGGCTTCTCCAGTGGGGCTGAATTGTGGTAGACTGGGTTTTTTTAAAGAAAAAACAGTGACATAACGGCTAGAGTTATTTCAATGAACATTGGATTCTCAGTGAGTAAATTGCCTTTAAGGACAGTAATTTCATGCTGGTATACACTTGAGAGGTTTAAAAATACAGGCCAGTAATCCTCAACAACATCCTTTCCGTAAACAATAAAGACATTATCTCATTTGTCAGCAAGCGCAGGAACCAACAACGCAGCTATCAAAACGTGAACGTGTCGGTCTGGTTACAGCAAATAACACAGGAAAATGGAATTTGGGCAGCCAAAAATAACTGCTGGCATGTTGGCTGGAGTCTTATGAGTGAGTCCGATTACAAGCCAGTAAGCACTTATCAGTTGATAAACAGCAAAATACTTCTGTTAGTCATAGTTTGGGATGCTGTAGGTGGACAAAACACAGACATGGCCTGCATGGTCGCATCGGCTTTTTCACTCTCAAGGGTCTGGTTGCTATTAAGGCATCCTCCAGTCGGATGGATGAAGCAGGTTTTACACAAACAGCAACTGTCAACTTTTTTCCAAATAAACCTTGTTTTTCCCTTTGAAATTAAAATACATTTTTTGGGAAAAGTACAGCAGATTGCTTTGTGAGACAAATTAAGTGGCTTCTAAAACATGTCACAGCACAGCCAGCACCATATGAAAAA